GCTCTTAGCAAATTTTGAATTTCTCCGGTTTGTCTGACATCACAACCACGCCATATTATCAAAATTACAACTAGCAAATAATTTGCGCAGAGAAGCAAAAGTTTCTAGGACACTTGTGACTGCAGTTTGGGGTTCATAGTTTGCTAGGCTCCGATTATAGTCATCCAGCTGATCCATTCGTTTGCAGAATCTAGATATAAGCTACTAAAGAAATCTAGTTTTGTGTATCTATGTCAAATTTTATTTGTCCATACCAGCAGGACATGAAATCCCTTTATTTATGGACTCACAAACAGACAGTTAAGGAAGGAATATATGGACATGCGACAAGTTCATTGTCCTTCATTCGTTACCCTGCCGCGACACAGAGCTACTAGCTTAAATATGTTTTAAATGTTCTGAGACAGACCCAAAGTGAGTTGAGGTTGGTGATAAACCATGGATCTTTTGCTATATAGTTCTGTGCTGCGCGAGTGTGAAGCTGACCTAGCCGCTGTGACAGAGACTTGGTTATGCTGTTATGATGATACAGTCCGAGCAGAAGGATCATGTACGCGATTGTCGTCAAGGCGGTGGTACAGCTCTATTTTTCAGGGACTCGCTGACCGTCAAAAAAGTGGGCTGTGGTGCTACAATGTCATATGAGTTTTTAGAGTGGACCGTCCAGCTGGCTTCTTCCCACGATTTTGGTTAGTTATGGTATATCGACCACAGTCTGACTCTGATGACCACAGGCTCCCCATGACCACGTTTTTTAACGATTTTACGGACTATCTACAAACGGTAATTCTCTGTAAAGAACAGCTGGTGATCGTCGTTGACTTTAATATCCATGTGAATGTACTGAGCAATAAGGACTCTACCAAATTTCTAGGTTTGTTAGAATATTTCTTCTTACAACAGCATGTGGTGGGCCCAATCCATATTCATGGTCACACCCTTGACTTAATCATCACCCGCCAGTCTGACGAGATTGTAAGATCCACACCTCGAATCGACTGCTATTTCTCTGATCATGCACTAGTGTTGCGCCATCTTCACATAATCAAGCCTTCTTTCGCCACCAGGACTCTCCCGTATAGGAAAATAAAATCAGTTAACGCGGATTCTCTAAATGGTGATCTGGCTGAGTCTGAGCTATGTAAACATCCACCGAACGACCTCGAAGAGCTTGTTTTGTCCTATAACGAAACCCTAACAGCTGTGTTGGACAAACATGCCCCTATTAAGGCTCGAAAGGTTATTGTGTGTCCGGTTTACTGACGAAATTAGACAAGCTGAGAGAGTGACAGAAAGCTGAAAGAAGATAGAGGTTGTCGAAGTTTGATTCCGACTTGGCTGTCTAAACGCAATCTTAACAATCAATCTTATGAACAAAGCACGACATGCATTTTGCTTCTCGAATCTTTAAACAGGTTTAAGGAAACTATGAAGACTTATTTATTTGCAAAAGCTTTGATTTTCAATTCATTGTATGTAATTTTTATGTTTCTACCTCTTCTTAGTCAACATTTTCATTTTCAGCTTTAATATCCAGATATAGTCGAACTTTTAACATTGTGATGCGCAATTGAAAATATATACGGATAATTGCGCAATATATGTCAATAAATTATTATTATCATTATTATTATTGTTTCAGTATTTAAAGCGGTTATTTGAAACGCGCTAACTCATTTGTGTACTTGCGAAAATAATGTTTTTTCCACCTTCACATCGGTTATTTGCCAGTAAGAAATAATAGATGGTACTACAGAACCTCATTAACATACGGCGTCATGGACTGCCACAGTTGGTTTAAGGGGAGATATCCAGAGATTATTATCATGGAAGGATTAATTATTATCCACAACCGGAAATAAAATTTTCTGTTTCTTATGGATATTGATCCGCCCATATTTAAATCAAAGACAATTTTGATGTACATGTAAAACGTGCCAAATGATTCTATCTTTCCATGCGTCTGTTCATTAATAGATCACTGACGACGTAAAAATGTGGTAAGAACGAAAAGTGGCACACGAGGTGCGGCCTTTATAGTGATGCTTGAACTTAAAAACCCACAGAGTTAAAAACAGTGCCACTGTCGTCGAAAAAAGTCGGATCATTTGCCGCAGAATCTCGAGGGTTTTTACAGATTTCTGTTAGAGCTATTTACGCTGCGAGCGTGAATAAAGAGTGACTCTTTTCTCAGTCGAAAGAATCGCTACAAGAAATACTGAACTACCTCTAGTTTAATAGCTTCGCGGCACCGTTCCCAAAGAGACTGAAAGTTGAAGGCGGGAAATCTACTTGGCCTAAGTACATTAAGATAGTGCACCTGATCTTCTGCGAGAGCTTTAACGGGCGGTACAATAATTATAGTGATCGATTCCTCTTAGAGAAAAGAGGTGATCGATCACTGGCGTTGGTTGATATACTATCATCATATCAATATTGTCCAACATGGCGAATGGTTATGCTCTAGCGACTTCTGCTCTCCTGGCGATATTCTGTGCCT